ATTCTGATGTTTTGCTGGACATTGTTGTCGGGGGAGCTGCGGCGCTGATCAAACGCTTCAGGATGCGCAGACGGGGGAAGCGAGCCGGCGCGCTCGTCAAGCTCAGACAGCGCGGATTCAGAACGCCGTTGCCAAGCATCCATCTGGCAAATCTCTGACATACCTGGCAATAAAGCTCATTCTGATTCTGATTCTGATTCTAAATCAGAAAATGTAAAATGACTAAATTATAAATAATAGTTAAAAAACAAAAGCACAAACTGTGTTAACCTTTGTAAGGTATAACGTTCTACAGGAACATGCATTCTGAACATATTAACATTACTGTCTTCATGGATGTATTTTTACATATCTATATAAATTTCTGTATTATCTGACCTGTGAAGTATGACCAACATGAATTCTGAAATTACCTTAAACTTACTCAACAAACTGCAGAATGATGCATTTCCAATAACATTTATGCATTTGAATGCATGGATTGTTCCTGACAACACTCAGCATCTAAGCCAAGGTCCAAAATGAACGTAAATTCGACAAACTAGTGAGCAGTGATGGGAATAACGGCGTTATAAACAAATGGCGTAACGGTATTTTTTTCAGTAACGAGTAATCAAACAAATTATCGTTTTCCCCGTTACCATTACTGACAATAAAATGCGGCGTTACTATAATTCAGTGGTGGGCCATCTGAGAAAGCCTTCTCTGCTGGCCTAAACACTATCAGAATCACTGATTTAGTTTTAATATATTTTTCCATGAATGTGCATTAAATTATTTCCAATAGTCTATTCTCTTAATTTCATAGCTTTTCTCTTGCTTGCACTGCTTCCAGCAGTGTATGTTTATATTATATTATATTTATATTAGAGCTTTTATCCAATCATATTTCAGCAAACGTGTTGCCAGGGTCAAAGAAATCTGCCTTAAGGCCTTCCGAATCAACAGTGCAGGCGTCTGTTAGCTTAAATCAATGGCAATGAAACCGTTGCTTTAACCAATCAGATTTCGATTTGGCAACACCAGGGCCATCTAGCTGGCTAACGATAACGTCAGCATTTTAATTTGTTACTTTTATAATGATGTAACTCAGTTACTATTTGTGAGAAGTAACTAGTAACTATAACTAATTACTTTTTTAAAGTAACATGCCCAACACTGCTAGTGAGTATGTGAAAAGGTGTAGCACACCAGATTATCACATCTGGTGTGTTATATATAAATGCACAACAGTTCTTTCTGGTCCTCGAATCTGATTGGCTGATAAAAGTGTGATATTCTAGTGATAACAGAACTCCAACCGTTTACCATTTGTATCACTATTGAACTGCTTGTTTATACTTTTTGAGAGAGGCATGGACAACCGTAGACTGTGCACATGCACCCCAAAGCGATCCAGAGACGTTTGTTCATTTATTTGAAGTGCTTTTCATGGCATTTCTGTATTCATGTAAAATTGCCATATTTGAATTGCAAGTGCACAATAATCACAGTTATCACAAATATTCGCCTAGATAAAATCATATATATATTCAGAGTGAAGCGCAACACTGTGTTCTTTAACACGCAAGCAGCTCATGATCTGATGTTTTCAGTATCTCGAAGCAGCTTGTTTCACACTAAAGACTGCTACAGTTAATATTAGTAGTAGTAAATACTAATACTTTACAGTACAATATTATTGTTATAGTAATATTTTTATTTATTAGAAAACTTTAGTAGGCGGAGGGGTGATTCCTGCCTTCTTTTTGTCCTTTGCAGTTTGTTATTAATTTTAAAGGAACTTTTACATTTTAAAGGATTTCAACTTTTCAACTATGGTTAATTTAAAACCTTAATTTTTATATTAAAACCGACAAAATCCATCCATGAATAGTTCATTAAAATTAATATTTTAATTAAAATGAATGCACTTTCTTTCGTTTGGTTGGTACGTACAAGCTTTACTTAAATGACTTTGAATTAATAACATGAAACCGTTAAATTATGCACTGAAGAAACCTCTCAAACACATTAAACCATATAAGCAATCTGTCAAAGCACCTGGATCAGTCAGCAACCACACGAAATGCAATACTAAGTTAATTATTTTCATAATCATATTTTATTGATTTTATCAATTACTTGTTGCAGTGGTACAGTTCTCAAAAGCTTGTTTTTCATAACTACTCCCTGCAAGGATTTGATCATGCATCCCAATTAAGTGTCCTGAATCACCTAATAATCTCTTCAGCCAGGGAATGACCCTCTCGGCGGTCTCCATGCAGAGAGCCGACTCTTAAAATCAGAATCTGTTTCAAGGGTTACGCATGAATCACACATCTTGGAGTCGGTCCTTCAGTAATTACGGGTTGATCGGTTTACACCCTCACTCAGTAACCGCAGATGAAACTGCCATAGTCTGGTCTGCAGACGGCAAATAAATTAAGTTCTTAGAGGTGTGTGTGAGTGTGAGCGAGTGAACGTCTCTGAATAAACACAGCGCAGCTGCCATCTACCCAAGAGGCTTTGGTGATCAAAGGACACGAGGAAGGCTCTTTTAGATGAGACGGGACGTCTCAGGACGTACATACTTGCATACTTAAACACAGTCAGGCTGATGGACAAACACACACAAAGAAATGCTTACAGACACACAAAGAACACACTATTTGGATAGGATTAGATTTTCAAATGACTGCGAGTTGTTGAATTGACAGTAAACAATACTTTAATATAAAAAATATCTCTATATTAATTACATAAATGTCTTGATAGCACTATTTATACAATTAATATTTTTGAATTAACTCATTTTGAATTAAAATTAAATAAAAATGTTAAATGTATTTCCTGTGATGTCAATGCAGAATTTCAGTAGCTATTACGTCACATGATCCTTCAGAAATCACTCTAATATGCTTATTTGATGCTCAAGAAACATTTTATTATCAATGTTAAAAATACAGCTTAAGTTTGTTGCAACTATGATACTTTTTTTAGGATTCTTTGATGAATACAGATTTATTTAAAATAAATTATAACATTAAAAACTCTTGATCAATTTAATGTGTCCTTAATGGATAAAAATATTAATGTTTAAAAACATTCTAACTGACCCCAAACTTCTGAAAGTATTTATATTCTATATACATATATCATTATATTATATATGCTTACAAATTTATACATTATAAATTGTACTGCTACAGGTGCTATTAGGAGCAGTGCATGATCAGACTACCTTTTATTCTTTTTAACAATGGATGGGATGCCAGCAATATTTGAACCTCCAACTGTTATTTTATCCAGAATGTTGGCAAAAAGGTCTAAATTCATAATGAAGGTGCACCAGGCAGCACAAGAGCAAATTTTGCTTTAGTTACAGTTTTCAAGGTCAAAATAAATGAGGAGAAACATCGTGAAAAAATAATAGACTGCATTCTCAGATATTTATATCCAGACAGGATTTCTCTAAAGACCTGAGTTAGCTGAAAAACAGAAGGTGATTTGCTCCATACATTTAGTTTTTTGAGGTTGTGTGAGAAACACACAGATATGTTCAATGCAGATGAGAATTAAATCACAAAGTATGCCTGTGAAACATCTCAGAGAAAACTAGTCCTATCAATGTACACGTATACCATCATTAAAAAAAAAATCATATCAACTATTGTACAAATACACACCTTAAATTTCATTTGTTTGACAGAGCTATAACCTTGAGTGCTGTGAGCTGATGATTGGAGATCTCCATCTGAACAAAGTTGTATTTATTTTCTAACAGTTTGTCCTGTTTTTGTTTTTTCTCTTTATCCAGTCATCTCACAAACACATGCAACCATGCGTGTTTAATACTTGAAAAAAGAAGATCTTTAATCCTGTAGATCAATAGCAGAGCAACAATAGTGGGAGATTTCTACCTGAACATCATTTTATAAGGGGATCATGGGAAGGCACCCCAGCAGGGGTAGGAGTCAGCTTATAATAAAACCAACAATGAGATATTTTTCCCGGATTCTGCTTTCAATCACAGCTTTGCTTTCTTCTGGAAAAGAAAGGTGGAATACAACACAGTGCACTTTTTCTTCTGGCAAATCCTGTGCCAGGTATGAATCATCTTCCTATTTTGGGGAGGAAAAAAAAAAAAAAAAGGAGAAAAGTGGTACGGAGAGGGGAGACAGAGTCAAGAAACACTGGCTAAAGCTGCGATGACTACGCCAATGATTTTATCTAGGCGAATATTTGTGATAACTGTGATTATTGTGCACTTGCAATTCAAATATGGCAATTTTACATGAATACAGAAATGCCATGAAAAGCACTTCAAATAAATGAACAAAGTACAAACGTCTCTAAAGCGCTTTGGGGTGCATGTGCACGGTCTACGGTTGTTCATGCCTCTCTCAAAAAGTATAAACAAGCAGTTCAATGGCATTTTAAATGCAAAGTGCTTTGCTTTCATCTTATTTTATTAATGTTTGTATATGGTAAATACATTTGACTGATCCAGGTCAGATTGCTGCAAAATGACGAGTGAAAGTCAAGAAAATATATATATATATATATATATATATATATATATATATATACACAGTGGTGTGAAAAAGTGTTGTCCC